CGGAGAGCCGGCCGCCGGCCCCAGCGCCTTTCCCAAGCTGCTCAGAGAAACTCAGAAGTGGCCACGCCTTTCCAGTGTCAGCTGTTTTCTTCGACCCCATTGCTTACGTCCAGCCTTTTAATTGGTCGAAATGTCACGAGGGAGCTGGAAAAGGTTTCCTCTCACGCCATTCTGCATCACTGGGACCGTCAATTTCCACTTTTATATCAAAATTTGAGTAAGTTTCAAGTTGTTACTACTTACCCGGGAAAAGCCCAGCTCGCATAAGGAAGAGGTGTGCGGAGAGTCTCGCAGTGGGGACTAGAACCGCAAAGGATGGCATTACAGTCAAAACCGGATTACATTTAAAAAGCTGGTCTGTTAGGGAAAATCGAGCCACTCAATATCCAACCAAAGGCGATTATGCTTTAGTGTTACAACCGGCAGGCAAAGGGACAGGGGGGAGACGAGGGAAAACTCCGGGACCAGCGAGTCGGCAGTGAAACTAGATAGTCTTGTGTTGGGCCAAGAGGCACTAGGAACCTTAATTGCTAACAAGTTAAATAGAAGGTGCCAGGAAGCTGCAGGTTGAGAGGCACCATTAACAGCTCAAAGCAGCTGTTACAGTAACTTTTCACTAGGACCCACAAAAATATTTTATTTTAAAATAAACAAAAATGAATCCTTATTCAAATAGTATTTTTTATACAAATGCAGTAAAAAGATACAAGTGGCCCGCAAGGCAAAGGTGCTCATGAATGCCATAATGTGGTCGGTCCTGTTTTTCACCAGTCTTTAAACATATAAATTTTACACCAGGATTAAATATTTAGTTTCTAATAGGAACACTATGTCTATAATAGAAGCACTATGTCTATTTCTCTTCAGTATGCAGTCCCAAAGCCAAATAGCACGTTTTAAAAAAATTGACCTAATTTTCAAAAACCTCCCTGAAATAATGTTAACATGAAAAATTTAAGAACTCATTCGTTCCCATAAATCTTAAAAGACTATCTATAAATTACTCCTCCATTTCTGAGCTGTTATCCCGATGCCACAACAGAAACTACTGGATTCTAATCCAGCAGGAAAGGAGGCATAATCTCCATGGAGTTGACTGTCACCTCATGGTGACAAAGTTCAGTTTCAGAGGGTTCCCATCCTCAAATTCAACCAACCACCAAGGAAGGAAAATATCTAGAAAAAAGTTTCATTGTTGCTGATGTGTTTTATGTAAATAGGCCTCTGATGGCTGCAGGTTGCATCTGTACTGAACATATACAGACTTTTTCTTGTCATTATTTCCTAAACAATATATTTAACAACTATTTAAATAGCATTTACATTGTATTAGGTCTAAGTAATCTAAAGTATAGGGAAGATGTGTGTAGGTTATATGCAAATACTATGTATACCATTTTACGTAAGAGACTTGAGCATCTCAAACTTTGGTATTCATGGGTAAGTCCTGGAACCAATCCCTGTGAATACCAAGGGACAAGACTATATATCCCACCGTTCATAGTAGTTTCTGCATAATAGCAAACAGTGGCCAATTAAAGGACAATTAACCCACTCTGAAACAGCAAAACACGTGAACTAAAGGTTACTATGAAGTTCAGTCAAAAGCAGGTGCTTAACACAGGGCTTTAATGCCATTGAGTAATGTGACAATTTGAGAAAAGTGGCAAGTATTTTGTGAACAAGAGAAACTGGGGAACACATCTGATGGAGTGGGCATCTTACAGCAATGGGACGGGTAGCCAGCATGTGAGATCATAATGCAAGTGCCTTTCAAAGAGCTAAGAACTGCAGCTGGTCATTCATTAATGTGTCAGACATTTAATCAGGAGGTTGCAACTTCAAGAGAGTGAAAAGAAGAACCAAGAAATGACTTGTTTTGAACAAACTGCTAAATAACCCTGGAAAGGCAAATGAACACTCTACTGATTTACACTTGTCATTCCACAGCTCAGCCAGAAGAAACTGTGAGGCATGAAATATTAATGGAGAGTGAAGGCAGGCTTCTGGAAATGCTATGACCCCACACATTTGCTTCAAAGGAGAAATCTGCAGACATATTTTCAGGTCTTGCCAAGTAACTGTTTATTCGCGCTCAATACATTTGGGAAAGTGTGCTACATAGCTAAGGTCACTGTGACCACAGAACACCAGATGAAAAGAATAAAGCACTGAACAGCAAGAAAAATGCATCCCACCCTCATAAGAATTTAAGTGAACTGGTAAAAAATTGAGATAAACAAAATAAACAGATACAGCCTTCATCTTTTACAAATATACTTCCTCCCCAAAATCTCCCCAATATAAACACTCTGGAGTGTTTATATATTCAGTGCAAGGAACAGTATCATCGGTATATTTGAAACAGCTCTGAAGAAAGAATAAAGCTAAAAGAACATCTAATTTTGAATATACTTCAGTGTGGTGTAATAGTGAGGTTATTACACTGTGATGGGGGAGAGGCTCTGATAGCACCCATCTGCATTCCGTATGAAAAAACAAACCTAACATCACTTATTAAAATATTCTACAATCCACATACTAAAAAAAAAATAATTATTTTTAACAGGACTGCTTTATCATGTAATTTAAGACACAACTGTTACATGAACAGCAAATGATAACTTAAAAGGTTTAGCAGCTACAAAAATTGGATAACTCATGCTCTGTGTCACTCCTCCCATCAGTACTTTTAGCCTGTGTTCAATTACAGTCAATTCTGAATTGGCTCACATCTGGATAGACTTCTAGTCTTTACAGAGTAAGAGAAATGGATTAAAAAAATAAAGATGGCATTCTATCCTGTACTTGACCCTGGAAAGGTGCAGGTCTGCTTTAAAAAGGAAGAAACATACACAATCACAATAAAGCTTAACACTATGCAGAGCTCATCATCATTTTCAGCAATGGACAGCAAGGCGCTGTGAAGAAAAGGCAAGCAGAGGAGAAAGCTAGGACTCCGGGAAACAGGGAGGGAAACAGTGTCCACAGAATGGAAGATGGGATGAAAACACCAGGTTCTCTCTGGAGCGCACATGTCCTGGTAGCAGTCCTTAAAAAAGCCACCTGTTCAAGAAGACTGCAGCCCAGACACGCAGGGTGTGCAGAGGATAAAGGCCCAAATGCCACATTATACCACCTCCTCCACTAACTTAAACCTGTCTGTGAACTGAGCTGTTCCAAGCACAACAGAACACACACACACTTTATGATCTAACCAACATCGAGTGAAAAGTCTTTTTTCTTTTTCTATGTCCATTTTTAATACAATTTAAACAGAACCTTTGTATAAATTTGGGCTTCCATTCAATCCCTCTCCTCAATTTCTTTAGGAGGAATGGAAGTAAGCAATACAAGATTATAATGACAAATAAACGGCACTTTAAACATGATTATCAATTTTAAGGGACAGAGACACTTGAATGCTTTGTAATACCAAACTCAAACAAAATTGGTTCTAAAAACTGCAGTTCATCCCCCTAGAATTTCTAAAAGTTGGTGTTATTTCTGCATGGACACATCAATATATTAAATTAAGCCAAGATTTTAAAGACTGGCAAAATTCTATTACTCTATTAAAAAACAAAGATGTTTAAAAACAGAACAAAAAAAAATACAAATTAGTTGCTTCATGTTACAATTCACAACCATTGTTAAATGCTTTCTTTCTACAGAAACGGTCCTTTTTGTCACAACTGCATTTACTGCTAGATGTTTAAAATTACACGGGCTAGTGTTTGACTGAAATTTGTTGAAGGTGACATCTGGAGGCTTTCTGAGTCTCAACCTAAGATGTGCCAGGTTCTCTCCTAGGACCACACTTGCAGAGGAAGGGGAGGGAGAGGAAATCACATATCAAGTTCTTAAGATAATTTTACTCTCTTCTTAGCTTTCTGTTTCTTGGTGATTTGTTCAAAATGTCATCCTCCTATTGGTTGAAAAAAAGAAAAGAAATTCATTATAATTAGCATATTATGAAAAGTAAAAATTCGCCAAATTTTCAAGATCTACCAAGCTGAGGGTAACCCATCTAAGGGCAAAATATGAAGAAAAAAATGATTTGAAGAAAATGTACCAAAAACCAACTGTCTTAGAGGTGGTGGGACTATGTTTTCATACCGTCTTTCTTGTTTTCTTTCCATGAAAATGCAATTTTCTCAATCTAACCCACAAACATCTTCTTTTAAAAAGACCAGACACCATGCTTTCACATGTCATCTTGATTAATCCTAAATAATTTACTGGCCTATGGACACATTAGCCCCACTGAGACTGAGAAAACTGGATTTTATGGGGACTGAAGACTACCCAAGCCAGGTCCCATGTGACACTCAAGACAATAAGCCTGGTACTCTTCCTATTCTATTGGATTTCTCTTACTGTGTGAAAAAGCTTGGGGAATATAAAAAGTATGTGAGCCCAGATGGTGTGGTTCAGTGGTTGAACATTCCACACCTATGAGGTCATGGTTCGATTCCCGCCTAGGCACATGCCCAGGTTGCAGGCTCGATCCCCAGGGTAGGGCATTCAGGAGGCAGCTGATCAATGATTTTCATCATTGATGTTTCTATCTCTCTCTCCCTTCCTCTTTAAAATCAATGAAAATATATGTTAAAAAAAAAAGGATGTGAGACTGAACCTTACCTGAAAGAACTCTACATTTTAGTCAAGAAACTGAAAACATAAACAGCATTGATCTTTATCAAGGGGAGGGCAGAATAGTGGGAGCTGGAAATGGACACTGGGTAGAGTTTTCCAGAAAGAAACATCATGAAATAGAGAAATGCTTGGAAAGGGACCTTGGTAGAAAAGGTGTGGCTTATTCTCTTTCTCTCACTTCACAGC